TACAAAGCCTTACTATAAACTATATACAGTTTTCAAAGCAGTTTTTAACTCCTTTATCTGACATTCATGACAATAACCGGAGAGAAAAGCAGCTTTATTTCACATTATTATTCCTATTTTAACAAGAGGAAACTGAGGCTCATAGAGAGTAAGTGATGAAATTGAGGAAAAAAGTGTCCAAACCTATAGACAATTTTAATAAGAGTTTATTTGAGCCAAACTGATGACATATGCCTGGAGGCAAGATCTGAAATGCTCCCCAGAATAACAATTTCTTTTATGCATTTGAAATTAAGGAGAGAACAGTAAGGAAAATTGCAGGAGAGTGGGAGAAAGAAAGTGTGTGTGGGGGGGTACTGGATGACAAGATAGTTAAAGTTATTGCTGTCTTGAGGGTGGTCGTCACCCTTTAGAAGGAGGTCTGGGGTGTGTTAACCTAGATGCACAGAAACAATGGACAGACCTTGCTTAAAGCAAAGGGAATCCTTTTACTAAAGAAGTCACTTGCCTGGGGCATGGGAACCCACCATGACTTGCCCAGTTAGGAACTCCTGATTAGATCACCTGTGAGGTTACTTTACATAGAATCCCTTTTTATCCCCATCCACAAAGTTCACTTGACAAAGTTCACACAATAGTGAGTGGCCTCTATGGCTGGGACTAAGTCAGCAGTCCTGATCAGTCTGACTGAGGTATGATGTGTGCACAAGGTAATGTGCCTAAGGCCGTTAACTCATGCAGCCTGGTTGCTTGTTTGCTTTTATGAACAGAAATCACCTGCTTGCATATGATTTTTGATTGGTAACCAAATATAGTCACAGTATTATTCATGGACGGAGACAGTTATTTTAAGGAATGGCAACTTTATCATGCATCTGAGAGAGAATTTTCTTAGGATAGAAGATTTTTACAAAGTTTTATTGAAATTGTCTGGAGCCTTTTGCCATCTAAGCTCAGGTCTCCTCTCAAGGCTCTATATGGAAATGTGTCCCCATGGAGACAGGAGTGAGGAAATACGGATCAAACAGAGGTGTCTTCCCGGGCCACCTCCATACTATTTATTCCCATCTGCACACCAACAAAGAGGTAGGTATGGGGAAATAGTCATGCCAATCAGAAGATAATACAACAATCATTAGATCTTAACAAGCTTCCAACATCAATCTTCTTCACCCCTAGATTCACATATTTAATTTGGTTTGGTTTATGAAGACAGCTTTGAAGTCAGTTTATATTTCCTGAGACTTAAGGGGCTAAGCATGTGTTATGTTAGAACAGTTAGCAGAATGTATGCTGAGCAAGGGCAGGTGGCTGGAGACTGAAAACTGCCTAAGGATACAAACCGATTCCTAGGTAATTGAGACAAAGTTGTTTTGTGAGAAAATATTGTTTTCCTGTATTAAAGTCGGCATGTTCTAAAGAATTAATGAGCCTCAGAAATGGAAGAAATTCGAGACATCATTTTTAACATTAATAGTTCTAAACCCTTCTCTAGTGATTAATAAGTGCAAGGCACTTTTCTCTGCTCTTTACACAGAAGAACTCATTTCATGTTCACAGCAAGCTCATGAAGTGACTATTACCTTTATCAAACAAGATGGCCTTAATATTCCCTTCAATTTAACTAAACTTTAGGTAGACTTCTTTCTGACTCTAGGCTCTTGACCTCCATTTTCTTAAAGCATTTACTTTAGAAACCTTGCCATTGTAAATTCTTTCTCTGCCCCTTTGAGATGTAAATCTCGTCCCAGTTTTACAGCTCCCAGATGTAAATCTCTTGCCAGTTTTACAACTCTCAGGATGTCTTTTTCAAGGTCAGGGAGCCATCTCTTCTAAATGTAATCCTCAAAGATTAGCATCCTTATCTTCCAATTTCTGTGGGAAGCTACGAGGCTAACATCTGAGCATGCTTGGCTCAAAACTGCAAAACCATCTCCTGCTATAAAGATTTGAGAGAGATTTTTCTTTTGGATAAGGCCAATTAGCAAATACAGGTATGGCCTATGACCCCTCCAAAGGTCCTTCAGTACTTTTCCATCGCTCATCCCAGTCCTTAAAATGTCTATCAGCAGAGTTGAGTTCAGACTTAGTTCTGGCTTCTCTCCTCTATTGGCATAGCCATGAATAAAGTCTTTTTTGCCTGCTTAATTTTGGTGCAGTTTTTACTGTGACATTATCCAATTTGCTGATTAAGAATCTGAGGCACAGAAAAATTGAGTAACTTGCACAGAAAAATTGAGTAACTTGCCTAAGGCCACACATTACTGAGCAGGATTCTAGTCCTATCACCTCACTTTACTGATGTACTGATGCTGTCAGTCAGGGCTTTCTGTCTTACTTAGCTGGAATCTTGCCTGGAATAAACATTACTGTGTTAAAAGCATATTTATTCCATTGTTTCGTTTGATCTAACCCAATGTACTGACGGGACAGGTATTTGTATCTTTATAGTTGAGAATTTAGGAAGGTTAAACACTTGCCTAAATCAAACAGCTCTTTAATGAATGATTCAAATAAATATATTTGTTTCCAGGAGTTTAAGGCTCCCAGGTTAAGAGTTCAATCTCACTGCACTCGATCTGTGAATCTAACTAGAATCAGATACGTGAGAAGGGCTAACTCCTGCGCAGGAAACCTGTGCCTTCTCCAAGCCAGCTGAGCACCTGTGATCTCTTCCTCCCCACTCCAACAGTTTCTCCACTTTCCTCTTTTACCCAGTAGCCTCCAGAGGCCTTTCTGTAGTTCAGAAAAGCCATCTCCTAAAACCTTCTCCGCCCACATTACTTTCCTTTGAACCAGCTCTCTGTTATGTCTTTCCCCAGCCTCTTAGAATTCACTTAAGAATTCTGATTTATATATGACACTTGTCACTTTGCCCTGTGGGGTCGCAAGTATGAGCTCCAGCGTGTTTCCTGCTGGTATCCTGTCTCTCAAATTGGCTTCTCTTCCTTACACAAGGCTTCCCAGATAATCCAGAACAGCAGTGAGGCGAGGGGGTGGAGTAGGTAGTAGTCGTGGCAGAGAAAGATCAGCACTGAAAAGATGCCGATGAAAGAAAATGGTGTGGAAATGTCTGGACAAGAGAACGGATCTAACAGAAAACAAGTCCCCTACTCATGATCGGGAGAAGGGGGGACCCAAGCTCTCGCCCTGGTTGCGAGCGTGTAATCTCGGTCACCTCCATTTCCTTACTCTGGGCCTTTTTTTTCTTTTCAGACCACTGGGGAGTCTGTGATATTCTGAGATTCTTAGGCCTCGGTTTTTCCCAGTGGGAATGGAGGTATTTACCTCTTCCCTGCTGGGCTCACAGGGAATTCGGTCGTCCTGGTTGGCTGGATGGCTATTTCAGAAAAGCCGGGATCTCGGAGCGAAGAGGGGATTGCAGTGGTTGCGCTTGGCTTGACAGTGCTGCACTGCCACGCGTCTCATCCATTTTTTCCCTAAACATTGTGCGCTCTGCCGTCCAGCGCCTCTCACTCACCTCCCAGACAAGGGGGCACTGAGGCTGGCCCGGGGACTATTAGCTGTGGTCAGAGTGCGACCAACCCGGGAGCTCTGTCCACCCCCCCGCCGCCCCCTCTTCCGCCTCGTGATAATGGAGCTGGTTGGTGGCCGGGAAGCTGGCAGAGAAGCCTGGCTCTCTTTGGGAAGAGATAGAGCCGTGGCAGATGCTGGAGAGAGGGAGGAGCAGGGAAGCTTTTGTTTCCGAAGCTAATAATAGAACCTTCCACAAACACTCTGACTCACGGTGGAGCTCTTCAGAATCTGCCCGGGAGGGGACGGGGGGCAGAACGCACTGTTTCTTTTCCTTCCTCTTTGATATTGCCTGTGCGGATCCTTCGGTTACTTCTCGAGGGCTGTGCGGCCTGAGGAAGGGAGCAGAGGAGGTTATCCTCGCTGTCCCCCGCCTCCCGAATGCTATCCCCACCTTCCGCCAGACACATTCCCTAGAAGATTTCAGTTATTCGTTCCTGTATCTAATAGTAGCTTTTGCAGCCCCAACACATTTCCTCAACGAGATGCGGTCAGATGTGCTGTTAGTCTCTGAGGCTCGTTAAATGAAATAATCTCCTTCTGTTCTCTCTGTGACCAGATCGCCTTAACGTCCCCTCAGCTTGACTAAAGTTTGGACACGCTTCTTCCTGACTCTAACCCCTGACCTCCCTTTTCCTAGAGTATTTAATTTAGAAAATTTTATCGTAAACCTTTTCTGTGTCTCTTTGAGATATAAATCTTCTCCCAGCTTCATTCCAGTTTTACAATCCAGGAAAGGACCTGAGAACTCTGTCTCTAAAATATAAACATCAGGGAAGATTGCGCCCTATCTCCCGGTTTTTATGGAAGCGGTAGGAGCCTAACCTCAGTGGAGGAGGATGGGAGGACTTAGCTCCAAGTTGTAAAACTACCTCCGGTTGGTCGTGAAGATACCAGGAAGTTTACCTTTCCTTTGGGTAAAGCCCATCACCAAACACAGATATTTAAAATTGCCCCATCCCAGCTCTTAAAGAAAACTCACGGTTCTTTGTTTCCATCTAGCTAGGTGTCCAGAGGTCATCTATGCGCTATGCTCTTTCTCTTATTGCTGGCAATAGCATCAGAATAAAATCAACCTCTGTCAGGTCATCGTATCTGGTGTGATATTTTTCCTTTAACACTGATGGTTATGATTTCTCTTAAATCCTTCTCTTCTGGTCTTTGCTGTCTTGCAACTTATTAGGCAACCAAGTAATACGTGACTGGAAATGTGTGTGTGTGTGTGTGTGTGTGTGTGTGTGTGTGTGTGTGTGTGTGTCCTCTCCTAGTCTACTACAATTTTCTTGGGGGAAGAACATGTCTAAGATGTCTGTACCACATATTGCCTGATAGAGCACTGTAGGTGCTCAAGCCCTGTTTGTTGACAAAACATTTTCCATCCAACACAAACCATGACTGTTAGTTCTCTAAAAACATGACAAAGTTTTAAAATATTTTTATTTGTATTATTTTCTGCCAGCAGAAAATACTGTGAATTTTTACAATGACCAAGAGGAGGGACTCTGAATCTCACTCATTTCTTTTTCTGTGAAGATACAACATTTGGGATAAAGGAAGAAGCTGGTTTTGAGGGGCAGGCTGCAAGTGGATCTCCTGGGATGAGACCTCAAGAAGGAAAACAAGACTCTGGTGTTGTGGAAGACATCCTAGAATTTAATTGAGAGCCCATAGGATGTGTAAAGGGTTGGAGGGAATCCTGCTGTGGGTTGCACCAAGGTTTCAGAACCTGAAAGTGGGATTTTGCCTTCCTCACTTAGCTTGAGCCCTTTGAGAGTTTTCCAGTAGCAACCTTTGATCCAGTAGCAACCCTTGTTCCTCAAACTCCATCGTCTTTAAATCCTCGAACTGCCCTAGGCAGTGTCAAAGCTTGGGAGAAAATTAAGTCTTTGTCCAGCTGACCACTGTCCACATCACGTATTCTAATATCCATTTAGCAGAGCAACCAAAGCACAGAGAAATGAAGGGAGATGCCTAAGGTCTTTCTTTGTGCGTGTGGTTTATAACAGCATCAGGATGTAGATTCCAAGTCTCTTAGTCTGGTCTTCTTTCCCATGTACCATGCTGCTTTTCTCTGACTGAGTTCAGAAGTTTGTAGGATCTGGGAGCAGGAGCTGGATGTTGGAGGCAGTACCATCTCCTGCAAGAAGAAGTGGGAATTAGGCTCTTCTATGAAACCACTGCTGTCAGGGGATGTGCCGTTGTGGTGGTGGCGAAAGCCTGCAATGGGAATTAAAAGCGAACACATCATGCATTTTTGAGATAACTTTGGGTACTGGATTAGTAGAAACCTTCATACCCTACTTGTGGAGATGTTTCTCACAACAATAAGTAATATTTAAAGTTATTAGCGGCAGCATCAAAGAGTCATGTGACAGGCTTTCTGCTCTTCTTACCATAAAGTAAGATTTCTGGAAGTGTTCACTTATTTTTTATACTTATAGAAGTATACCCTTACTTTTATGATCGCTGAGTACTGCTGGAGAAAATTATAAAACCACTGCCAAGCTATGTTCTGCACCTTGTGCTGAGCCCTGACATTATTCACCTATTCAACTGTTAATACATGTTTCTATTTAAACATTTCTTTTGTTCTTTCTCCACAGTGCAATTTCATATCTTTACTGTCCTCCTCAAATTCCCTGCCTCACACTTTTTAGTGATGCAGTAGGGAAAAAAGAGAGAAACCGACAGGCAGACATTTCTTGACTTCTTTCCAAAATGACCAGTGTAACTGTATTCGCTCTTGTCCTTTTTCTTTTCCTCTAATCTCAAAGATCTGCACCCCTAACTCATGGCTAAACCCTCCAGAAATGCGAACTCACTCTAATTCTCCAGCGACCTCAGATCATCGTTCTCCCTTCCCTCCTGAACCATGGCCTCCCTGATCCTATTGATCCTTTCCCTTCAGCAAATATACATGCTTGAGCAGAGATGCAAATAATTGTTTTCCAGTGTGACCAGTATTCTCAGAGATAAGTTTATAGCATTGTTGGATATTAATTAGTTTTGTAGCTAATGGGGCAATCTACTAGTTTATCTGTATATAACTAGTTTCTCAAATACTCTCTGGAGGAGTTCAAACATATTACTAGTATCCTTATTAATTAATCAATCGAATAAAATCTTGGAACATGTTTATCTTATATTCGCATGAGAGCCATTATTTTGCCTTTTTGAAAATTGTATTTTAAAATATTTGCCTTTCAACTTGTTACTTCTACTATATTCTGTTGTTAATAAAAGGACACTAGTATTTACTTACCCAAGAAAAAAAACCTAGAAATTTCTCTATGTTTCTTGCTTTTCCTCATCCCCCAGCTCCCAAGTCTGATTTATTTTAGGTTTAGCCACTGTATGTATTAAATATCTCAAAACCCCACTCTTCTCCATTTCCAGTACTCTTGTCTTATTTCTGTTCATCACATTTCTCCTCGATCTTCTCTGATAGACTGTTGAATGATTTCCTTTCCTCCACTGACTCTCAATTCTTTCCATTTCTCATACTTCTGCCAGAATGCTCTTTCCAAAAGATAACGCTAATCATATCATTCCTTTGTAAAATTTTAAGTTGCTCCCTATCCTCCTAGACTAAGTCAAAATACTTAAAATAACACGGAAGACTTTGTTTCATAATCTAATTTCTCTTTGTCTTTCCTACACTTAATTTTGATTTTCTCCCACATATCCCCTTTCTCCCACTAAGCACAAGGTATAGTTTCTGAAGATATTGTTTGTGATTTTCCATTCTCCTCTGCCTTTGGACATGTTTTCTAACTAGGATATCAATGTCCTTCTTCTTCTTCTACTTCCTTTCACTCTCTTCTCCTGAGTTCTAGTTCTATTCTGATATTAACTAGTTACATGATCTTGCTAAGTCATTTTCCTTCTCAAATAGTCTACATGATTATGAGACTTAGGCGAGATAATATCTCTGAAAGTGCTAAATGCCGGAGGTGCTTTCTACCTGAAGAGCTGGGTAAGGTAGTGTGGATGGAGCTGGACCCTCTGCTCTGCACATCTCCAGGAGAAGTGCTCACCTTGCGGTTTACGTGAGTGTTGACCTGAAGTTGTATGGCTTGACAGCCTTGTATATAGCCTTGGTAATCCTTGGGAACCTTTGAAATGAATAACTCAGAAAATGAGCATTATGCAATGCAGAGAGCAGCTGTCTTCCACAGCTCTAAAGAAGAGCACGTCAGTACAGATACAGGGAATGCCAAGGAAGAGAAAAGAAAATACACAGAGGTGAACCGGCAAATACAAATTAAAAATAAGAAGCTTAATTTTCCCTGTTGTGAAAGAGGCTTTTCTCCACTTCACTTTTTCTTAAAGCATGTTTCTTTAGAAAACCTGTCAGTTTTTTATTTGCCTCTTTGAAATGCATGTAAATCTTTTTTAAAAAGCTATATAAGCCTCTTGCCACCTTTACAACCCAGAAATGTGTTTCTCAAAGGAAGCCACTGCTTTGAAAGGTAATCATCAAGGACCATAGCACCCCTATCATCTAGTCTCCATGGGAGGATAGGAGTCTAACTTAGGTGCCTGGCTCCAACTTGCAAAACTATCTTCTGCCATAAAGATAGGAGAAGTTTTATTATTCTTGTGGATAAAGGCAATTAACTAACACAGTTGGCCACTCGAGTTACCAGGTGAATCTAGGATGAACTATGTGACAAATGGTACTGTCAAGTCCTCTTATTTGAGGACTAGTTATTGTTTATTTTGACAACATGTATGTGATGGGTTATAGAAGAGGTGAGATTTCTTGCAGTCTGCAATCTCGTTAGTGGATCGTCTGTGATGCGCATCATATTCTGGTTTCATGCTTATTCAAAAATAAAACTGTTTTCTTTCCCTTAACCTTTCTGGAGAAGTTTTCTGGGGTGGGAGAAGAGTTTTTAAAAATTATATTTCCCTAACACGTGCAAAAGGACATTGGTAAGAATTATAAATGTAGCAGAAAAATAATTGTCACAATCTCATGATGTCCTGTCTCCCTTTTCCATCTCCCCTATACTTTCTATCTACTAGTTCCCCTTAAGAATTTATTTTAGTATAAAAATAACTGCCCAGTGTCATCATCTATAAAATGGAAAACAATTTAAGAAAGCATATATCACAGCATTAAATGATTTAATTCCCATGAAATGCTGAGGATAGTGTCTGACGTGTAGAAAACCCTATATATATTTGTTATTGTTAATATCATCATGTGAGAAAACTTACATCAAAGAGAAATCTGTAGCTACCTGACTCACACAGGTTCTAATCAGTACAAACAGACAGAGCTTCGAATTAACAAACAGACAGAGCTTCGAATTAACCGCTATGGGATTATTTCACACTAGTTTCCTTCTTTATGCTCTGCACTAGCCTCCCAACCTAACCCTTCCTGTCTCTTCTTTCACTGCCACCAGCAGAGTTGACCATATCATGAAACCTCCCATCTCCATAGATAATCACTTTACAAATAGAATATATATTGGCCCATGCTACCTCAGATCTGGTAAAAGAAACAAATAACAACAAAAGAAAAACCTTCTTGCCTCTGCCTTTTATAAATGTAATAAAGGTCAAATGGTTTAAATTTCAGCAACAGGGCACCCATAAAAGGGCTGTGAATTTGAAATTCTTGAGCACAGTGCTAATTAGGAGGAACAATGAGGGTCAGCCTTTCCCAGGACCTTGGAGGAAGAATAAGCCTTCTCTGGCAGAGACTAAATGATAGAGAGGAAAGAAAGCTGGTAGTTGGGGACAGATCCTCTTTTAACAGTAAAGGTGCCATTGTGCTAATTACCGAAAGGCACTCATCTTATACCGTTGAATTAGGGAAAAAAAAAAAAGGAACTCCCTCTTAGAAGATGAAGGCCCTTGAGTTTCTGGGTGGTAAGCTAGAGCTGGATTTGAACCCTTATTTGTCTCTTTTGGTCGGTGTCTTTGTGCAACGTGAGGACTATACAAACTGGACATAGTGGCTGGTTAGGTGCTGCTACCTCTTCCTACCCATGCTCACACCTTTTCTATGGCCACTAACCAGTAGTAGATTAACTCCTGGGACTTTATACAGAGATCCTGGGAGATAATTCATCTCGAGGAGATAATTATAGATCCTGAAAGAAGCAGAGTAGGGCTGTTTTTCAGTAGATCTGAGGGACTGCCCCATATATCTCTGCCTTTGATGGTGGTAAGTGAATTTCCCCCTTCCTTATTTCTCACGGTCTTTAATCTTTGTAGTCCTGTGCTGTTTTGTAGCAATTCCCCCCTTCTTGTGATCTCTTAGACAATGATAGAAGAGTGGATCGAGAAGACTGTGCACGGCTTTGTGAAAAGATGATGAAACAAACTCACAGAAAATTGGGAAGATTTGGCACCCTCTGTGATTTCTGTCGCAGCCAAAGACTGTCGGTGCAGAGATCTCTCATTCTAGAGAGGCACAGAAGGGAAATCTACAAAGTCACTTCCTCTTTTACCAGAGGGACTAAGTGCATTGAATTTCTAAAGTTACTGTGTTTCATTGAGTCTGATAAACCATTGTTCATAAGATTTATAATTATTTTATACTCCACTAAGGAGGCAAAATGTAGACAATTAAATTGGCTGACACTGACAATGGTAAGACCTATTCTATCTGAGAGATATTAAAATGTGGAAAAATGTATGCTTTAGATTAAGTGAAACACAGCATTTCTAACTGCAATCTCTCTTGCTGTAACGAAATCCTATCACTATGGTAGAAAATAGAATCTAGTAACTTATTCGAAATGTGTAAATTTTAGAAACACTTCCTCTCTGGCATAACCGCATAGATCTTGCACTGCCTGTTTGGTATTTTTCTTGTGCGAGGCTGACATCTGCTGGACAAATAACACTTGAACAAATCTTTGTACAGTGGCCCTCCCCATCCACCGTTTGGCCTTCCGTGGTTACCTGTGGTTAACCACAGTTCAAAAATATTAAATGGAAAATTCTGGAAAAAAACAAATCATAAGTTTTAAACTGTACGCTGTTCTGAGGAGCGTAATGAAATCTCTTGCTGTCCCACTCTGTCCTGTCTCACCCCAGACATGAATCATCCCTTCGTCCAGTCTCCACACTGTATATGCTTCCTGCCCGTTAGTCACTTAGTACACTTCTCATGGTATTGCAGAGCTTGTCTTCAAGTATTTTACTTAATAATGGCAGATTCACATGACTTTAATGAAGTATATTGTTATAATTTTTCTATTTTATTCTTAGTTATTGTTGTTAATCCCTTATTGTGCCAATTTATAAATTAAACTTTTTCTTAGGTATGTATTACCAGAAAAACATGGTACTTGTTAGAACTGAAAATTCTCAGACCCTGTCCAGACCTATTTAATCAGAAATTCTGGAAGATAGAGTTCTGTACCATTAGTTTGGTTTTAGGCATCCATTGGGGGTCTTGGATTATATCCCCCATCGATAAGGTGTGATTACTATATATATATATGATTATATATGTAGATATATAATTCTCCTATTTCATAGGACAAAACTAAAGTTAAATGATTTCTGCAAGATCATTGAACTAGTATGAGGTATGGCATTTGGCTCCAGATCTTAAAATTTTCAACTATATATTGTTGCCTTTTGCTAATTACCTTTTTTGTGAATGACGAACCTTATATAACCTATATACCTGGAGACGAAGGTAAATAGAGAAATAGAATTAAGAGCGATAAGGACTCTAAAACCACAGAGAATTAGAATTAAAAGAGAATCGTAAAGATCTTTGTAATTCATGGACTAATAACACTGAAATTTTGGAATATTATCCAAAAAAAGCTATTGGACTAGGAGATGCAGTAAATAGTACGAAGACATGCAAAATGGATGGAACTCTAGACAAGATTCATTTACTCAATTCAAGAAAAGTTTCAATTCGCACTATCTTGGAAAAATCATTGTCTCTGAGGCCATCTTCTCTGTGATTCTAGGGGCTAGGTGGTGAAAACTACAGGAGACTAATTTTCATTTAGTTTAAATAATAAATCTTTAGCCATAATGTTCAAAAGTATAAGGGATGCCTCTGAAAGAGTTAATACTCAAAACTCTTAGTAATAGGCAGTAACTACCTATGTGATGTTCAATGTCCTTTGAGGAGGCGAAGGGGAGCTACGCATATTGGACCCTCGCTGCAGAGAGGAACTCAGAGCCTAAGTAAACAAAGCTGTGAGATACAGTGAGGAGTCTTCCCTAAGTCCTGTGATGTAGGCTGATTAGAAAGCAGCTAAAAAAAGTAAGCACTGGCATATAAATATCCACGGTTGGTCCTCCCCTGTTACAAAACTTCTACAATAATGCTTCTCAAACTTCAGTGTGCAAAAGAATCACTAAGGATTAATGTAATTGTGATTTATCAGGTCAGGGGGCGCGGGGCTGGGGTTCCAAATTTCTAACAAAATCCCAAGGGATATATGCCGCTGCTGGCCTGTAGACTACATTTTGAATATTAAGGTTATACAGAATTTCCCCCAGAAGAGCAGTTCTCAGGCTGTGATCACCAGGCCAGCAGCATCAACATCACCTGCGAACTTGTTAGAATAGCAAATTTTCAGGCCCTGTCCATACCTATTCAATTAGAAACTCTGGAAGAGAGGGCCCGGACATCTGTATTTTAACAAGTCCGTCACGAGAGTCACTTACTTCTTGAGCAGAGAGAGAGAGAGAGAGAGTCACGAGAGTCACTTACTTCTTGAGCAGAGAGAGAGAGAGAGAGAGTCACGAGAGTCACTTACTTCTTGAGCAGAGAGAGAGAGAGAGAGAGTCACGAGAGTCACTTACTTCTTGAGCAGAGAGAGAGAGAGAGAGAGTCACGAGAGTCACTTACTTCTTGAGCAGAGAGAGAGAGAGAGAGAGTCACGAGAGTCACTTACTTCTTGAGCAGAGAGAGAGAGAGAGAGAGTCACGAGAGTCACTTACTTCTTGAGCAGAGAGAGAGAGAGAGAGAGTCACTTACTTCTGGAGCCTTTGTCAGCAAAAGTCTGGTAGACGTGGGGGGTTCTGGGTCTGCTGGGCCAGAGACTCTCCTCCTCTTCATTGTTGCTTTGCATCTGAAACCAAGATCCCAGCAGAACTCAGACCCAGTGGTGGGGAAAGGTGTAGAATGGCAGGCAGCTCTAGGGGGAAGAAAGCTGAGTGTACTTGAGGGACTTGGCCTCTTTTCCTGTGGCAGGAACCTGGTAGTAAGGAAGGCAGGAGCTGAGGTGCAGCTCTGCTTTGAATGAGAAGTGACATACATAAAAATTATGTTGCAAATTATCACAGCTTCCTTTTGTGGCAAAGACTTGAGAACTTTTCCAAGAGACCCTAGCACTTCATGGCAGTACTACAGGCCTGGGCAAGAGGAATCCTGAGTTTCTGAGAGTCCATGGGGTAAAGAGTTGGTAGACCTAGGGGATGTACCCACCTGGATCCTACACTACCCCTCTAGACCATGTTCTGGTTACCCAGAATTCCAAATATGCTGCTCAAATGGTCCCAAGCCTGCTTCAGTGAACTGCACTTGTTTGCCTGGTGTCTGTTCTCATAAGGGCCGTCCTCTCTACTAGCACATGCACTCCTGAGTGATGTCCAATGGATGGCTCTTTGTATGGGTAGGGTGTGTGAGGCATTTGGACACACAGGTCCCTGATAGTGCAGGACAGATCTTGGCATGGAAAGAGAAGGAAAAGGCCAGGGGCTGCCCACAATACCATGTTCTAGCACCAAAGTCCTAAGAGCCTGGGAATTCTAGATTTGAATGTGAACTTCCAGGTCTTTATGGTTACATATTTGTCAAGGAAGAAGTAAAGATATTTTATTACATAATATTTAGCTTAGTGTGTAACTGACCTGTCTACTCTTGTGCAGTTCCCACAAGTGGTGAGATGGGGAGTACTTGATGAGAAACTTCAAGATCAGATTAGGTGAGGAATTACAAAAGCATTTCTGGAAACCTGGACGCTCTTAAAAAAGTGGGCCTGTTCTTCTTTCTCCTTTTATATTAACTTGCTCTCAAAGGTTTCTGAATATGATTTGAGAATTGGCATGTCTAGTGAGGACAGGGAGCCTGGATTGCCTTTCCCCAAGGACAAGAAGCTAGAGCCTTTCTCTGCCAGCCTCTCCCTCATCTCCAACCCACTCACCTCCTCCAAGTCAAAGGTGTCCAGCAGCTGCTGGGTCAGAGATCGATGCAGTTCTGGTTTCTCTTGGCTCTGCTTCCATTTCTGCTGAATGACGGACAGGTCCAATGATTTAACCTCCCTGCCTGTGGGATTCTTTTGAAATAGGCTTTTTCTTGCTCTGCTCTTCCTTTTCCAGAAAATCTCATCCTTGTCTGAATGGACTTCCTTATTGGTGGCCTGTAGACCCCACAGCTCTCTCTTTACCCGCGCAGGGTCTGTGCTCCACTGTAGATTTGCTCTGGGCAGAGAGTGTGTGCACAAGGGTGTCTTGGAGTTACAATGCAGAGTTTGTGATGGTGCTCGCACTTTGGACATTCCCTGCTGTGTTACCTCTTTAGGGCAAAGGACACATGGACAGGAAGAAGTGGGCAGCTTTGTACTGCCGATGGGGAGCACAGGATCTTCCTGTGAACCTGGCGCAAACTCAGGGTCTTGTTGGAGAACCAGCTTCTCTCCTCTCACTCTGTCCATCACTTCCCACACCACTTGGTCCAAACTGTTCCTTTTGGGGGTATTGCGGGGCGGTGATAGCCGATCTCGGGGGCACGTATATAGGCACATTTTGGAGATGGCTTTCCGGAGGCGCTCTCTGGGTGAGTGAGGTTCAGGCTCTGGGGCCAGAATTTTGATGGGTGGCACATCAGTTGGGTTGCAATTCCAGAACATGTGGGATGGTGTGAACTTTTGAACAGGTGTCTTAGACACATAGGAGTAGAGGCAGAAGAAGGCATCAGCAGTGACTGCCAGTGTTTGCACCTGCTTAAACCTGCCTGGGTACAAAGGTTGAAGACCATGAGTCTGGGGATCATCAGAAGATTATTTATTGAATCTCTGACTTCAATCACCTCCCTAAAGCTTAAAATTCAGAAAGAGATGGTGCCGAGTTTCCCACTAGTGTTTCTCCCATTTAGATTTCTGACACCCAGTATCCCCTTTCTTGATTTTCTTGATTTTTTGACTCCCCATGCCAAGTAGTCCAAAAATTAATTCTTTAAGGGATGAGAAACATTTCTATATCTTAATTTAGCATCTCCTTTCTGTCATCAGATTATTCTAAATAATGGCCTCTACCACTGTGTTTGCTTTAGAGGACAGACATGATAAAAAAGGGCAAAACAAACATTTTCTTAGACAATAACAAAGTTTTAGGTTTATAGAAGGCTTCTTGATAGCAACAAATTTGAGGGGTAGCAATGACTAGGCAATGGACTGGGGCAGAGGAATTTAGATGGGCTCTATCATTTCTACTAGGCTTTTGCTTCTTGAAGTGTAGTCAGTAGTCCAATAGCATCAGCATTGCTTGGGAACTTGTTATAAATAAAGACTCTTAGACTATATCCCAAGCATTTTAACAATATCCTTTGGTAATTCATATGCACATCCATGTCTGAAAAGCACTATGATAAACAATATATCCTTTAAACTGTAAGCTTCCCGAAGGCAAGAATCATGTTCGTCTGGTCTAGCTGCTGTTCTTACAGATTTTAACACCTAATTATGACTCGGCACATGAAATAAATTCAATATATCATCCTCAAACTTTAATGTGGCTAAGAATCATTCAAGGTGCTTGTGAAAATACTCCAACTCAAAATCCTTGTTTCAGCCGGTGGTGCCTAGGAGTCTAGTTTTACCAAGCTTTTAAGTTGAATCTGATACAAAGGATCTGACACAACACTTCAGAAAGACTATCATGTTTTGGGTGTAGCAGAATATAATTTGAAATCTATTCTAACATATAGAATCAAAAAGAGTCTTTTTATACCTCATCGAGGTAGAGAAGCCCTCTCACATCTTTTCTTAGTCTGAAATCTGGGCAACTTAAATCTTTGTTTCCCGAGTGTGGCCTAAGGATTATAAATAAGACCCATCTGTGTGGTTGGTTAAAATAAATATACATGAACCGATCCTGAGGAAAAGCCCATGAATACGAATGCTTTATAAACTTTCCGCACAATTTAACATATTGAACGTTGAGAACCACTGCCCTAAATGGAACTGATTTTTATGCAGCGGCTATATAATGGGAACATTTGATAATTTCAAGTGAGAAATAGAAAATGAGAAGAAGATTTAAAGACATTTTGTTCCAATTTGATTCAGCTAAAGGAGAGAAAGCCTATAGAAAGCAATGGTAATAGGAAGTCTCTTGAAGATTATTTTAAAAGAAGCAAATGTCAAAGTTCTCCGTCTTTACTGAAGACAACATAAGAGAAAACAGACACACGAGGAAAAGGTCAGGTGGAGCTAATCAACAGAAAGCAGGATCTGGAGCCGCTGATCTCTGTTGCGAATGTCTGGAGGCTGAGGGGAAGCGGAGCATGGTCTGTGGTGACACTCACTGGCCAGCATGAGGCAAGGGTCCTCCATCTCGATCCTCCGCACCTGGGCCTTCAGGAAGAGCTGGAAATCAATGCCTTTGGCCTGGGAGGGGGTGGTGAAAAATCGAGCAGGAATCCGAGAAGTGTCTTTTTGGTCCTCTTGGCCAAAGCCCAGGCTGAAGAGGACATCTTCTGCATCTTCTTGCACCTTGTCCAGAATCTCAGAAATGCTGGAAAGAGGGAGTTCGAGTAAATAGGGCAACTTTGAGGCAGAGGGTAATCCAGTTTCTTTGACTTTGAGAAAAGCTTTCATTTCTCTGAACCTAAATTCTGTCTGAAACATGAGAATTATAATCTAGCCCTGGTTTAAAAATTGAATGAGATTCTGTCATAGTACTTTGTCTAACTGATTACAGGTGAATGAACTTTACTATGAATTTGAACAACCACAAGCAGCACTAATGCAAAGAAATCTTGTGGTTGTGTTATTAACGAGTCAGTTCCCATTTGTACACATGTACTATGATACAACTGGCTTATGCCAAGTGCTTTGCAACTTGTCATCCAGTTTTCCCTTAGTGGTTGTGTAAGGAATGTGTGTAAGGAATGTGTGTAAGGGAATGTGTGTAAGGAAAATAAAACTCATTTTTATCCTGAGGGTAAAAATTTTTTCAATACAGTAAGTCTTCACTTAACGTCTTCAATAGATTCTGTCACTTTAAGCAAAATGGTATATAATGAAACCAAATTTACCGTAGGCTAATTGTTATAAACGACGGCTAAGTTCCTACAGCATCTCACCACTGTTATAACAAAACGACATTGAACAAAATAATGTTATTCGAGGACCTGCTGTATAGGTATGTTCAAAATCTGATTTTGAGAGGTTGACCTCTTAGTAGCACCATTTTAGTACAGAAGACCAGCATTACAGAAGATCAAGTTCTCTCTGTCTCTCTCTCTGTGTGGCACCAACACCTGTCCACTTTTGAATCTGTATACTACCAGGCTGGATGACACAAGAGCTCAATAATTATGTATCCCAAACAACAATGGAGATGAGGGGGGCAGTGGATTATCTGAAACTTTGAATAATCACTGTCGCTCTTCAGAGAGGATGCTGGCCGTTTTGATCAAATAGGGATCATCTTGTATAATTAATGGCTACATAATCAGAATTCCTGGCTCTACTTTTGTGCTTGTCACCTAAGTACCAATTTTATCTCTGTGGTCCTAAATTTCCATATCTGAATCGTGGGCATAAGTCTGGATCATTAGTTCTTAACAATGACTGCATATTAGAATTACCTCGGGGGTCTTTTAAAAATGCAGATATTTGAGTCTCATCTCCAGAGATTCTGATTTAATAGAACTGTGGTGTAGCCAGGGCTAAGTGAGGAGAAGTCATTGAAGGTAGACATGGTTAATGTCTCAGAACCAGGTCTCGAATTCAAATTCTCATTCTAAATTCCACTTTTTATTATACCACACTAGTTTTCATCACTTTCCATCTTGTTTTAAAGTTATTTGCATGTTATATTTTGTTCACCCTATTGGATTATTGAGTTCCTGGGGGCAAGTTCTTTGTCTGCTTCATCTTTTCAAATTCCATTGTCATTGCCTGGCTTGCATTAAGGGATACAAAATTGCCTGAATGAATCAATATTTCATTGCTTCATTCAATTAAATCCATCAATCAATCAATACATTTATTGACCACTTATTGCACACTTACTATTAAGTCCTGAAACTGTGACGGTACCAATACTATACCTCCTGGGGCATAAAGTTCAGTGGAGAGACACCTGTTATTATACACATACATGCAGCTCTGAGCAGTAGATTCCTCTGTGCCCCCCACTATTCTTCCCTACTTCTCAAGTATGTGACTGCATAAAAGCTCCAGTAAGATATCTCAGAAGAAGTGGGCAATAGTTTTTGGTTCCATTTTTGTTCTGCCTCTCATCTCTCTCACCCTTCTTCCCTTGACAAACTTGGTACCACCTACCTTGAACTAGTCTTGTTGGTCCCACCTGTCATGCTGCTGGAAGCCAAACTGCAGCCAAGATCTAGTAGTTGGCAGGGCCGGGCAGTCTCCAGGAAACTCCTGCAGGAATCAGAGATGACTTAATACTAATCTTGTAAGCAGTCTGTACCCTGGCTCCAAGATGTCCCCTGCTGGGCACAGATACTTCCTGCTAAGTAACCTTGAACCATCTACTATGAAAACTCAGTCTATGACCTCATTCCTGGTTGGAAAATCTCACTCTATTGTGAACCTTTAGATTTTTGTTTTTAATCTCTTGGACTTTGACACTTACCCCAGTTCAGAAGCTCCTGAAGAAGGTATTATTCGGCCTAGCTGAACCTTACACTTACCTGGAGAAGAGTTTGCCATTTGCGGCCAACAGTGTGGCTGGACAAGGGACAGAAAGGCAGAGAGACAGTTAGAAGGGAAAATCAAAATCACCTCAGTTTCCCCTCTGAACTTAAAACTCAGCCCTCTTTGTTCCTTTCTGCCACTATCACAGGATAGCTGAACACCATGAACTCTGCTCTTTAAGGGGGTATCTAAAGATTAGCAAAGACAGACCTGGAAGGGGGACAGATATGGCAGGGTACAACTGTCCCCAAGCCTCTGCACTTCTGAACCACGACTGGTGTCTAGGCAAGAGTTCCTCTGTCCTGAAGAGGATAGAGTCATTCAGCCCTCCAGGCCTGTGTTCTAGCCCTACCATATGAATCTCTACGGGTCCCAGGGGGCTATACCTCCATATTCCATTCAAGTCCCTATCTTCCTGCAGTGCAGTCTCTCTCCTACATCTAGTACTCAGGCTGCTTCGGGCTTCCTACACAGAAAAGTGTTTCAAAGATGTCTGGGCAGCTAGGGCTATGGTGATTTTATATGTTATCTTATTAGAGGCCAAAGGAAAGTTCCAATGATGGACCAGCAGATGTCCTGATAGGCTGGCAGGGAAGTATTCCTGGGCATGTGACTCTTTCTGACTTTCACATAGA